CCTCCACCCAGCCCACCTCACCCACCCCCCCCGCGGGCAACTGCTACAGTCGAGCTTGTTCCCTCTGCTGGAAAGATCCGAATGACCTGTGTGGTGACCACTGGGGGGTATGCCCCCAAACTCGTCAGCTGCAGCTTGTACTCAGCTGTCTTCAAGATGATCACCTCAGCGGGTCATAACCTGGGGGATGTCGTCACCACCATCAAGGGAGACCCACAGTCTGAAACGCTCATGTCAGCTTATGCTCTTGGAGCCGCGTACACATTCTTAACTCTGGAGGACATTAAGGAGATCATGCGGCTGACGCTCATCAACCCTATACCACCTCCCCCCGTATCCTTCTCCCCACCACCACCGGAACTTGGGTCTATCACTGGGAGTGTCACTCTAGCATCAAACGTTTTCTCATTCTCAATCACATTTGGGGACCTGACCCCGGACAGCATTAGGTACGCCTTCTTCACCGCTGACGGGGCCCTGGCCAGTTATGGATCCCAAAAATACAACGGCAAAACGACCACTTATACCACCACCCTCAAGGCGGCCATGTTATCTTTGGTGTCGTATGCCCAAGTTGTGGCCCTCAACAGTACAGGCGCTAGCACCAATGTCCTGACCCTGAACTGCTGATCATGCAGACTGATGTTATTGCGCGCCCTCCGGGGTCGATCGACGTTAGCAGCATTTGACTAAACAGTTGCGCGCATCCTTGCCGGCAGTGCCACTCTGCACCCAAAACCCGAAGCCTGTGTCTATAGGATCTCTCTTTCCAAGACTCGATCTTCAGGCTCACGTCCTGTAGAGGAGTGCCAATATGTTCCTGCCCAACACCCTATACACCCCCACGGCCCTGAACGCGGCCATGGCTGCCTCCGTTCAGAAGGAGCAGTCCCTGCAGCGGTCTGCGGCCCCCCAGGACAATCTGCTTGCCCGCAGCGTGTCCGGCTTCGTGGCACATGCCCCCACGGAGAAGAAGATCGCCCTCTACTCCCGGGTACGCCCTGGCGCGCCCAACCCCTGCTGGCCCCCTCGCCGAGGAGAACCCGGGCGCCCGACGGGCCCCCCTGCATGGGACTGACAAATAATCATTCCTTTTCCCATTCCTATCCCCGCGCAGGACTACTACCTGGCCTGCGGCGTGGGCGGCATCCTGGCCTGCGGCCTCACGCACACTGCGGTCACCCCCCTGGACGTGGTGAAGTGCAACATGCAGACCGCCCCCACCAAGTACACGGGCATCTTCCAGGGCTTCCGCACCATCGTCACCGAGCAGGGCGCCCGCGGCCTGTTCAAGGGCTGGGTTCCCACCGCCCTCGGCTACTCCGCGCAGGGCGCCTGCAAGTTCGGCTTCTACGAGTTCTTCAAGAAGTACTACTCCGACCTGGCCGGCCCCGAGTACGCGGCGCGCTACCAGAACCTGATCTACGTGGCGGGCTCCGCCTCGGCCGAGTTCATCGCCGACATCGCGCTGTGCCCCTTTGAGGCCGTCAAGGTCAAGGTGCAGACCGTGCCCGGCTGGGCGCGCGGCTTCGGCGACGGCCTGCCTAAGTTCGTGGCCGAGGGCGGCGTGGGCGGGCTGTGGAAGGGCGTGGTCCCCCTCTGGGGCAGGCAGATCCCCTACACCATCATGAAGTTCGCGGCCTTCGAGAATGTGGTCCAGGGCCTGTACAAGTACGTGGTGCCCAAGCCGCGCGAGGAGTGCACCAAGGGCGAGCAGCTGGGCGTGTCTTTTGCCGCAGGCTACATCGCGGGCGTGCTCTGCGCCGTGGTGTCCCACCCCGCCGACAACCTGGTGTCCAAGCTGAACTCCACCAAGGGCGTGTCTGTCGGTGAGTGCAGGGCATGCTGCGAGCAGGGTGTCTTCCTGGGATGCCAGTGCCCGGTGCGGCAGCCATGGAACTGGCACCATGTGGATGACAAGCATGGGTCGAGCAACGTCTCGTCGCGGGTCCTCACCCTCCTTCCCCCCCTTCCCAACATCCCGCAGGCGAGATCGTGTCGGAGATGGGCTGGATGAACCTGTTCACCCGCGGGCTGCCCCTCCGTATCGTCATGATCGGCACGCTGACCGGGCTGCAGTGGGGCATCTACGACGCCTTCAAGGTGTTTGTGGGCCTGCCCACCACCGGCGCCAAGGTGGAGCCCGTGGAGGAGAAGTGAGCGCCGCCCGATGGCTGCCGCTCGCAACGTGCACCTTTGACTGTAAGCTAGCACAGAGATGGCAGCAGGGCCGGGTGTGCGGGGGGGCGCAGGGAGGTGATGCAGATAGGTTCATCAGAGCGCAGGCCGTCCACGGGTGAAATTGATGCGATCTCGAACTTCTAGCTCATAGACAACGGACCCCCCAAGCCAGCCAGCCAGACGCACAAGGGCACACCTGACCCTGAACATCAGCATTTGAACATCAGATCCGCATATAAGCCAACATATCGGGGTCTCGCGACCCAGGGAATCACACACGTCGATACTTTCCTTGGGCACCCCGGCGCACTACTCGGTCGAGCGACTACCTGCGGCCCTGTTGCCCCGTGGCTCCATATCTGGCATAGTTCTGGTATTAAGAGTACCAGCAGGCCAGGATGGCCACTGCCACTGCGCCAGAAGCGGCAGGCACGCAGAAAGCAGACATCTTCGGCGACGCGGTGGAACTACCAGTGATTAGCAGGCCCAAACCAAAGTTCGAGTTGATGCTGACGGACTCCTCGGACTCTGATGAAGATTTACCCCTGGCACAGCGGAAGCTCAGCCTTGCAGGTACGTTGCGGGTGGGGAGTGTGCAATTCTCAGGGGGTAGGATGTCACTCGGAACACCGACTCTCGTGGCCTGGAAGGTCTCATGTTTCCTCGCTGAATGTACGTGCTGGGAGACCACTACTTTCTCTACTCACCAACCCATCCAAATCTCCATCCATTGCAGCTGCCAGACCTCAGCCAGCTGCCAGACCCGCCTCCCAGGCCTCCAGGCCGCCCTCCCAGTCCAGCCAGCGAACAGACACCAAACGCAAGAGCACCGGCACCGGCGGCTCCATCAAGAAGAAGGCACGCGAGAGCGATGCCAGCACTCGGCCTCGGAGGTCTGAACAGGCGGCCCCGGATGCAGCCGAGGTGCGAGGGTGAAGAGGGACTCTTTCCTGCTGCTTGTGCAAACAGGCCGCAACTTTTCGCCACCTCGGCTTCTCATGGGGGGTGCTGGCGTTCCACTGCGCTCCAGCATGCTCTGAAGGCGGTCAAGTTTGCCAATTCCTCTTTTCCACAGATCCGGTGGACCACGCTCGAGCACAGTGGGGTCCTCTTCCCCCCTGAGTATCAGCCCCATGGTGTCAAGATGCTGTATGGTGAGTCGGATTGGGGGGTTTAGAAAGGCTGCATGGATGATAGTTAGGAAAGGGGTTTGATTCCTTGTGCCGTTTGGGGGCCTAACCTGAGATCCCAAGGGATGACCTGCCCACTTTTCCAGTTTGCGCTCTTTCATACAGACGGCGTCCCCGTGGACCTCACGCCGGAGCAGGAGGAGGTGGCCACCTTTTACGCCGTCATGCTGGAGACGGGTATGGGTGTCGATGCTGTACCGCCAGAGAGGGCATCTTGAGGGGCAACCCAACGCAGTTTGTCCTGCGCTTGGCACCCAATCCAGGCCTCAGGGCGTCCTGGCAGGGGAGACAGGCTGTGTGCGTGCTCATTCCCCCCTCCTTCCCTCACCCACCGGCCCCCCCCTGCAGACTACATGACCAAGGAGACGTTCAAGAAAAACTTCTGGGAGGGATTCAGTGAGGTCTTGGGGCCCAAGCATGCCATCCAGTGCCTGAGGAAGTGCGACTTCACCCCCATCTACGAGTGGCACATGGCGGAGCGCGAGCGGAAACGCGCCCTCACGAAGGAGGTGGGTGTGTCAGGGTGGGAGGTTGGCGGGGGAGCAAGGCAGGGGAGGGGAGGGTGTGGGTGGGTGATCCAGCACAATCATGAGTACTGTCCATCAATCGTGCGCCGGCCGCGTCGGGTTGGTCATGGTATCTGGCCGCACCTGCGGCCAGCAGTTCAAAGTCACGACTGTTTCTGAATGCGCGGCAAGTCGCTCTCCCCACCCAGTATCCCCCTTTCGCCCATGCCCGCCGCAGGAGAAGCTGAGGCTGAAGGAGGAGCGCGAGGCCGCTGAGGCCGACTACAAGTTTGCGCGCGTGGACGGGAAGCAGGAGCAGGTGGGCAACTTCCGCGTGGAGCCGCCGGGCCTGTTCCGCGGGCGCGGGGAGCACCCCAAGATGGGCAAGATCAAGAAGCGCATCTACCCCCGCGACATCACCATCAACATCGGCAAGGGCTGCCCGCTGCCCAAGCACCCCTTCCCGGGGCAGACCTGGAGGGAGGTGCGCCGAGAACGAGGGGGGAGGTGGGTGGCTGGGGGTTTGATGCCATCGCCAAGCATGTAGGCAAGCGGAGGGTATTGGCTAAGGGGGCTGGGCTTGCGGGGGCACAGCCTTCTGACCCTGGGTGCTCATGCCTGTCGGGGCTGGGGGGCGCTTGGCTTTCAAGCACCTGCCTGAAACATTGCATGCCAACCTCATCCTGAGCATCGTACACCTATAACATGGCAGGTCCGGCACGACCAGACGGTGACGTGGCTGGCGTACTGGAGGGACCCGGTGAACACCAAGGAGTACAAGTATGTCTTCCTGGCCGCCACCAGCACGTGGAAGTCGGAGAGCGACCTGCTCAAGTGAGGAGGTGGAGATCGGGGTGGGGGGTCCGGGGGACCAGGAGGACAGCTCTGAGTTTGAGTGGGTGAGGAGGTGGAAAGCACATCGGCATCTCAGCACTCGAAGCAATGGCACTCACCAATCGCTGGGATGCTGTTCTGCCCCACAGCAGAATACTGTGCTGAGTAAGCATGCCCAAGCACCGACCCCATGCACGCCCGCCCGCAGGTATGAAAAGGCGCGCAAGCTCAAGGACAGCATCGCCGACATCCGGGCCGAGTACACCCGCAACTGGGATGCCAGGGACCGGCGCGAGCGGCAGGTGCCGAGCGCAGGGGTTGAGGGACTGGAGGGGCCGGGGTCTCTCCAGGAACGGCCGTGTTGCGGCGGGCCCGCCTTGTGAACCTGGCGCCAGAGTGGGGCCTGCATGGGCTGACCCTGGCTGCAGCCCTCGACCTCTCACTCCCACCACCCTCCCCAAAAGCAGATGGCCACCGCCCTCTACTTCATCGACAAGCTGGCGCTCCGTGCTGGGCACGAAAAGGACGAGGATGAGGCCGACACGGTGGGCTGCTGCACCCTCAAGGTGGGTCGCTCAGTTGTCAGGGGGGGGCGGTGGGTGGGGTCTGTGGGTTGGCTTGCGCTCCTGGGCAAGGAGAGGTGCCGGCAGAGTGCCCTTCACGCGACAAAGCATGTCAGCACCATGACTGGGGGTTGCTGAGAGCAGAATTGTTGTGCCCCAGCCCCGGCTCCTTCACACCATCACAGGTGGAGAATGTGGAGTGCCTCCCACCCAACCACATCAAGTTTGACTTCCTGGGTGAGGCGCGGGTGTGGGTGATGGGCAAGCCAGATGGGCGGGTGTGGGTGGGATGCTGCGATTCCTGCAGCATTCCCCAGAGAACGCCTCCCCTGGCGCCAGACCCGACCTGCCTGACCCGGCCACCATCCAATGTACCAGGCAAGGACTCCATCCGGTACGAGAACACGGTGGACGTAGACCCCAAGGTCTTCCAGAACCTGCAGTTGTTTAGCCGCGAGGACGCCAACGGGAAAGGTGAGCACGGTGCCGACAGGGTGCCACGTGTGCCGGCCGAGGCAGAGCCTGTCATGACCACAGTCAAGCGGGGACTGACAACCTGATCCGTCCACACCCTGCAGCCAAGCAGCCGGGAGACCAGCTGTTTGAGTGTTTCGATGCGCAAGACCTGAATGTGAGGCTGAAGGAGCTGATGGACGGCCTGTCGGTGAAGGTGATCTCCCTGTTGGAGTTTTGTGTGTGCGGGAGAGGAGGTGCCTCCAGCAGGAGGGCATTCGGGGTGGGAAGCCAGTTTCTGTGTGCAAGCCTGGGTGCCCAAGTCATCCTCACACCTTCTCCTGCATGGCTGGAGTCGATGGGAGGAGGGTGTCGACCACCGCCATGCACCCTCATGTCGCCCCTGCCCGCGTGCCCTCTCCCCTGGCTGGTGATCCTCCAGCGGCTGGTCCTCGGAAAGCCTTCTACACATCCCCCCCCGCCGCACTCTCTGCTCCCCACGCACCTCCAGGTCTTCCGTACCTACAATGCCTCCATCGTGCTGGACCGGCTGCTGACCGGGGAGGTGGACTCGGAGAGCGTGGAGGCCAAGAAGGCGGCTTACGACACGGCCAACAAGGAGGTGGCGGTGCTGTGCAACCACCAGCGCGCGGTTCCCAAAGGGCATGTAGGCCAGATGGAGAAGCTGACCGCCAAGATGGAGGCGCTTCATGCTGAGCTGGCGGTGCGTTGGCGTGACGGTGCAAGAGGGGGCGGCAGGCGGGTTGTGAATCCCGGTCCTGAAGGATGGGACGCGTGAGTGGTGCCATGCAGCCCTGGCCTCTATTTTTGCGCTACCTCGCCACAACCACCCTCGCACATACCCTGCACAGGAGCTGCAAGCCGACCTGAAGCTCGCCCTGAAGGGCCTGCCTGGCAAGGACGGGAGGAAGCTGAATGCAGAGTCGTGAGTCCGGGGGGTCCAAGGCCTGCGCCACTGAAGTCAGAAGTGACGGCTTTGGGGAGGAGTCGGTGCTAGCGGGCATGTGTATCGTGCGCCGCTTGCTGCGTGGAGGCCCCAACCCCTGCCCCCTCCCCGCCCCTGCTTGCAGGCTGGAGAACAGGGCATCGAAGAAGCAGCAGCAGATTGAGAAGGCAGAGATCAACTTCAAGGTAAGGCTGGCAGATGGAAGGCACATGTAGGGTATCTGGAGGTCTGCTGTTCATGATACTCGCCTTGGTGCGAGGTTTGGGACGCTGAGGGACGATGCTCCGCTCCTTCCGGTGCAGGTGAAGGAGGACCTGAAGACTGTCGCACTGGGGACGTCCAAGATCAACTACCTGGACCCTCGGATCACTGTCGCATGGTGAGGAAAGGGGAGAGGGGCGCCCGGGCTTTTTGCTCCAGATGGGACAGCCTCCTTGAACCCTTGGGGAGCAGCGCTAGTGCCACACCCTTGCAGAGGTCCTGTTGGAAAGTCCCCGACCCCTGCCGTCACTCTCCGTCCCCGCAGGTGCAAGAGGAATGAGGTTCCCCTGGAGCGCATCTTCAATCGGTCCCTGTACCAGAAGTTTGCTTGGGCAATGGAGGTGGAACCCGAGTATGCTTTCTGACGGGAGAGCAACGAGTTGGACCTGCTCGAGTCCCCGACCCGATTGCCAATCTGCAAACTCATGCGCATCCTGGACATGCACCTCGCACATGGTCCTCTGTACGTCAGGGTGGAATCCCAGGGCGATTAGAGCTGGGTTCAGGGTACCTGTGACTACTGATCGCAGCCACCTTGCGCGCCCAACTTTCGAAGCTCGCATCCGAGAGCGCATCAATCGCACTGAGATCGGGGGCAGGCTGGGCACTGAAAACGATGGACACTCTCCTCAGTGCGCTCATCTGATTGTATCAACGCCATTGGGCGACTCCCCCAGCACCTTTAGTTTTGCCTCCTTGCTCGCTGTCCCTCGACTGTTAAGACTGCTGTGGCGCGTGCGAGGCTCTCCCGGCGTTTCACACCGGGTGCATCGCTCAGCACTCATACCGCGTGGGATTCGGGCCCGACCATCCTCCAGCAGCAATGGCAGCCGCGTCGATGGTGACGCCGTTGGCCAAGTACAAGCTAGTCTTCCTGGGGGACCAGAGCGTCGGGAAGACCAGTATCATCACCCGCTTCATGTATGACAAATTCGATACCACCTACCAGGTGAGCTGTGCGTGGGTGCGGGCAGGCGCGCCGATCTGGGGGCTGAGGCCGTGGTTCGGGGATGGCCACCTGCCCTGGGAAGCAGAGCCGACACCCATCCCCTGGCTCTACCCTCGCAGGCCACGATAGGCATCGATTTCCTGTCGAAGACAATGTACTTGGAAGATCGAACAGTCAGGCTGCAGCTCTGGTAGGGCGGCTGGGAGAGGGCTGTTGCTGATGTGGGCTGTTCTTCTTCAGCCGTCCCCAGACTCAGCCTGCCGGCCTGGTTTGAGCCTCGCCATGTTCCTTTCGAGCTCGTAGGGACACTGCAGGTCAGGAAAGGTTCCGCAGCCTCATACCCAGCTACATCCGAGACTCGTCGGTGGCCGTGGTGGTTTATGACGTCACAAGTGAGGCTGTGGGGGGGGGCGGCTTGACTTGCCCACATGCGTCCTTACCTGCTCCAAGCCAAAGTCCCGCCCTCCAGCAACTCACCCTTGTGCTGCCCCAATCACAGACCGCCAGTCCTTTGTGAATATCCAGCGATGGGTGGAGGAGGTTCGAGGGGAGAGGGGCAGCGACGTCATCATCGTGGCGGTTGGCAATAAGACGGATCTGGTCGAGAAGCGGTGCGTCACTGAGCTGGGCAGGGGCGTATGGTCGGTGTGACATACGGCAGGCCGGCTTCGAAGGCAGGTCGACTGATCCAACGCATCGACCCAACACGATTCGGCAGGCCCCGCAGGGCACACCCCTCCAATGTCACCTTCCCCCCACTCTGTATTCCCATCGCCAGGCAAGTATCCATCGAGGAGGGCGACACCAGGGCTAAGGAGCTGGGCATCCTGTTCATCGAGACCAGCGCCAAAGCTGGCTTCAACATCAAGGTGAACCGCGCGCGGTATTTTTCTCCACGGCTCGCGGGCGCCATGCCTGCGCCGTGCCCCTGGCAGGGCCGTGGTCCTCCCTGCGCGAGCCAGCGCTGAGCCTGGAGGCCACCCACCCCCTCGCCACGCAGGCCCTCTTCCGCAAGATCGCCGCTGCCCTGCCGGGGATGGAGAGCTTGGGCGGTTCCAAGCAGGAGGACCTGGTGGACATCAACCTTGCACCCTCCTCCGCCGCCAAGGCGGGAGGTGCAGGCGCCGCCTCTGGCTGCGCCTGCTGAGCAGCTTCCCGCTAGGGACCCAGCGCTCGACTCTTCGGAAAGAATGGTTCACAGTGCGCTGAATGGTGACAGGCGGCGGGGCGCATGCACAGCTCAGGCACAGGGTGCTTGACAGCTCGGCAGGCGGGGCTTGGCGCCACAGCATTCTGCCCCTGCCCTGCCTGTCGCCCTAATCGTCGTCCTTGTAGGGGTAGGCCTCTGGCGCTGCGGCCACGAACGTCAGGCGCAGCTCGGTCGCGTCGTCGCCCCGCAGCGAGTCCCTCACAAAACTGCACTCTGCATCGATGTTCACCTGCGCTTGTCCGCGGTACATTGTAAGGCCAACTGAGACTCATCAAGTGAGTGGAGCTTTGGCGCATCAAGGACAAGGACAAGAAGCTGGGAGAGGGGTTCAAGGAGACCCAGCAACGCTTCACAAGCGACGTCACCACCCCGCGTGTGCCTCTCCCCCCACACCTCGCACCATCTCCAGGGCCCCGCGAATCACACCGCACAGGATATTGCTGTAGCTCAGCCCCCGCAGCTGCTCCGGTAGCTCCACAAAGTCCGTGAGGGGGTTGTCCTCCAGGATCAGGCTGCAGGACCGACCGTCGGGGGCCCAAGCCGCCACTCTGGCGCTGGTGTTCAGAAACATCCTGAAGCCGACGTGGGCGATGCGTTCCGCGACCTCCTTGAAGTCGGAGCAGGAGGTTGTCTTGGAGCGAGCCAGGTACTCGTCGATCAGGCGTTGGCCGATGTTGTACCCCCTGGGAGTCGGAAGCGGTGTGTGTATGCGTGTGTGCGTTGGGAGCGCAGGGAACGCTCTCACTCTCCACATCTCACAGCGCAGCAAGTGGACACCACGTACATCTTTTCTAGCTGCTTGTTGACCTCATCCACGTCTTCATAGTCGGAGATCAACTGCCGCACGATGCTGCCGTATGTGAGCGTCAGGATCTCAGCGTTCTGGGCAGGGGGAAAGTGCAAAGGATGGCTGGGAGTGTGATCCAGGCGTGCAGGAATCGCGAGATGGCTGCCGGGACCGCGCAAGGTCTACATAGCTTACGATGGTTTCCATGACGGGGCAGGAACGGCGAGAAACGGTGGTCTGGATGGCTACTCAAGGAAGTGATCCTCTCTCCGCCAGGGGTCGGAAGCACAGGGAGCTCTATCTGATTGTAAGAAGAGATCAGTTCGCACAATTGTTATCCACTTGAAAGATACAGGAACGTATGACTGTTTTGCATGTGAGGACGGCCCAGAAGGTGGTGTAGCTCTCGACCCCGCCCTCTTCGAGACGGGCTCTGAAATCCCCACTGCTCGAGTGATCAGGCCCCGAAGTTCGATGCAATGCGGGAGGATGAAAATGTCCCTCCCAAGTGTTTGAGCGGTGCAATGACGTGTGCCTGCATGCACTTGTCATCAGATCGGGACCTTGTGAACACCCTGCGCCCTCCTCCGGCCATGCCATGCTCCGGATGCCACCCATACCTTGCTCCAGAACAACGTCGGTGAAGTGCACCGAGTTTACAGTTCGCCATGCACCATGGGCACTTGCGCAGCCTGCTCCAGCTTCAGGAATTTGTCAGAGTACGTCTTTGCGGAGGGCAGGGATACTACCTGCGCCTCGATGCCCTTGCCCCCTTGCAGCCGGATGCTCTGCCCGGGGAGGCCTTCTGGTAGAGGGCTGGAGTCCTCCACCGGCTTCCCAGCATGGTCAAGGGCCGGCAGCACGCACGCGGTCAGCTGGCCACCATACACGCAGCCGGTGTCGAGCCCCGTCGCATATGGCTCGAGCTGCAGCCGCCTGTGCGTCACATTCACAAGCAAAAGGATTTAACAACTCGCAAAGCATTGTATCCTGGCATGTTGTTGGTGTGATGCCTGTCTCATGGCATCCTTGCTTGATGCAGGCTGCCATTGCTCTCCGACTGCAAGCCCATCCACATCCCGCCGGGCCCATGCCCCCCATTCAAGTCGCCCACCCCCCCCCCCCCCCCTCCCCCTTCTGCCTCCCCACCTGGCCGCGTCGTGGCCGAAGAGGACGTGGTGGGGCCCAGCCCACACCTTTGCCCAGGGCTGACCGGTCCCACCGACTGCATTGGCCTCCCAGGCAGGGTTGCCTCCTGGGGCCGGGGACCCGGCGCCCTTGGTGCTTGCGGGGACGACGTCGCGCATCTGCGCTTGGGAAACAGATACAAGTGGGTGGAGTCCATCATGCCATCTTGCCAGCCGCAGACCCACTCGCCCTTCCGTTGCCTGGGTCAGAAGCACGCCCTTGTTCACTGTCCCCCTCCCGCCTGGCCCGCCCCCAGCCCCCCTCCCCAGTCCCCCTCCCACACCCCGGCACCCACCGTGAAGAGGTCCGACAGGGGCTGGTCCCGAAGATCTGCGCCCGGGAGGAGCCCGGCGTGCACAATGGTGACGCCATAGGCCGGCAGGTCTAGGGTGAAGGGCAAGGCCTCCAGCTCGCACGCCAGGTCGGCGTGCAGCCCCTGCACCCAGCCGTGCTTGGCCGGCTTGGGGATGGGCAGGCCCGCGTCCCACGCCCGCCATGCGGCCAGGGCCTGGTCGTCGTGGTTGCCGCGCACGCTGCGCACGCCGCGCTCCTGCACCAGGCGCAGCACCTGGGGCGAGGCGGGGCCCTTGTTCACCAGGTCGCCCACGACGACTAGCAGATCGTCGGGGCGGGCCAGCGCGGCCAGCAGGCGGTCCAGCTCGGAGGCGCAGCCGTGCACGTCGCCGATGACCACGACGCGGCGGCCCACCGTCTGGGACAGGGACAGGCGGTCATGAATCCGGGGCGGCAGGCGGTTGCCTTGGTGGTTTTTTTTGGGGGGGGGGGAGGGGAGGGAGGGATCAAAGACGGCCAGGCGTAGGTGAGGGGCCAAAGGTGCGGAGCGTGGAGAAAGGTTGCGTGCGAGGCAAGGTCTGGGTCAGGCATGAGGAGCAGAGGGGGAGGGCAAGCAGTCCAGCTCTGTCCACTATTTCCTGTCCACTGTTTCCTGTCCACTGCCCCGTCCTGAGCCTGCAGGACTTATGCTCCCCTGGGGCAGTGCAAGGTGAACCCCAAACACGCACACTACCCCAGTTCCTCACCGTATGGCGTGCGGGGCTTACGTCCGAAGGCACGGCCCAGGAGGCTTCGGACCAGGACCACCATGCCTATGACCACCGGCATGACGAGGCGGCAGCCCGATCCCTACAGGTCGCCGTGCTGCACAGGCGCGGGCAGGAGGGCATGGTTCGAATGGTGCAGAGAGAAGGTTCATGCCGTGGGCACATCATTAGCGGGACGTGCCTGTCCTCCTGCCCCCTCTAGCAGTGTGGTGTGTCCAGCCCTAGGTCGTCCGAGATCCCAGATCGGACTGGCGGCACCAAGGATGCTCGCTGGATTATTCAGTGCAGTCACTAGTCCACCACACATTGGCTGGACTCATGTTGTCGACTGGTTGCATCGACCTCGCACACATTCGAGCCTCACCGTGCATGCAGTTGACGGGAAGCGGGGTTGTTACCAAAATATTCCCAGCACGATGCATGGATGCCGATGCCTGAATTCCCAGGCCCCTTTGCGTGCTTATTCAGTGTTACAGTCTTCTTCACACTCACATACATACTCGGGCGGCCTGATCCACTTCCCCCACTGCCACACGACCAGCAGGGGTGGTGGGCAGCGCAGTACACAAAATTTCGGCCGCGATGTCGAAGCCGTCGCGATGGCCCATCCCCTCACTCCTCCTTGCCCTTGCTGTTGGCGACCTGGGAGAAGACGCTGGAGCCCACGATGAGGGCCGCGCCCACCCAGCCGCGCGGCGTCCAGCGCTCGCCCAGGAAAGCGAACGCCAGGGCGGCGCCCAGCACGGGCTCCAGTGTGTACACGATGGCGGCGTCGGTGGAGGACACGTCCTTGAGCGCAAAAACCTCCATCAGCAGCACCGCGTCGGTGGTGAACAGGCCGGTGTACAGCGCCTCCCGCCAGGGCAGTGTGATGCTGCCCCAGGACTGCAGGCTGGTTAGCAGCGGATGATGCAGCAAGGAGGAGAGGTACTCAGGGTGCAAGATGGCGACGGCGCCTGCTGACGCCGCCATAGTCGTGGTCAGCACGACCGACATGAGAGGGAGGCTGGAGTCGGCGCCCAGGCGACGGGACCAGTGCTCGGTGCGGAAAATCTGGCGATGGCGGATGTGGGGAGGAAGGGAGGGGTGTGTCCTGAAAATGGCGCACATAGAGTCAGACAAGGGGGTAATCCAAGGCATGCCACGACACACCCACAGCAAACGGCATGCAGTGCTGCACTGATACTGTTAAAGTTTACGGAACACTCCCCTCCCGGCCATCCATCGCTGCAACTCACGTCCATGCGCACCCCTGCCCTTTCCTCCTCTTCAACACCTCCCCACCCCCCCAGCCCCCCTTTTTCCACCTGGATGCCAAAGGCGACCGCAGACACGAAGCTCCAGATGTCGCCCACAGAGGGCGGGCGGCCCGACTGCTCTAGCAGGCCCACGCCCACCAGCGAAAGTGCGGCGGCCGCCCAGGTGACGGGGCGCACCCTGCTGCCAGACAGTCCCGCCAGGAAGGGCACCACCAGCACGGTGAATGTGGAGAGGAAGGAGGCGCGCGACGCGTCGGTGGAGGCCAGACCCTGGCTCTGGGCCAGGTACCCCGCCGCCATGAAGACGCCCAGCTCGCAGCCGGCGCGTAGGATGGTGCGGTCCTTGAGCGCGGTGGACAGAAAGGGGGAAAAGGCCGCCGCAGCCACCGAAAACCGGAGCAGGGCAAAGGTGAAGGGGTCGAAGCTCTCGCCGACGTCCTTGACCACCACCTGTGAGACGATTGCAGAGGGAAAGGGGGATGAAAGGAGGAGGTACGACAAGGGGGACTGCCCGCGCATGTCTGATCCCTCCTTTTGAGACCGCAGAAATGCAGGAGGACAGAAGTTAACGTCCCTTCTCTCACACATTTAAAGCTGCCACGCATATTGATGGACATACACGTGGCGACCAGGCATGCCCAAACCCATGTGCACTCACCCAGTTCGTGGCGACGACCAACACCAGGAGATTGCACAGCAGCAGGCCCCGTAGCCTGGGGCTCAGGGCTCGCACAAAGGTGCGCACCGGGCCGGGCAGGAATCGCCAGACCCCCTCCAGACTATCCGCTGCATCTACATCATCTTCGTGCAGGTCTAGGGTGGCAATGGAGTCGCGCAGGTCCTTGTAGAGGTGGATGTCGTCGGGAAGCTGATCCAGCGACTTCTCGGAAGTGCTGGCCACATCCGCGTCGGTACTAACTGTCGCACACGCTCGCTGCCTCAAGCGCCGCTCTGTCTCGGGAAAGGTAGTCACACATGCTCGCTGTGGTCGCTGAGAACGATGGACGCGGCAGGGGCCTGCCCGGAACGGAACGATACGGGCGCTATTTGCTGGTCCAGCTGTCCATGCATTCACTGAGACGCCCATGGAAAACGTTTCTCGCAGCACTCTCTCTCAAGCTCAACACCACTAATGTCCCAGAATTTCACGCCAAAGTGGTTTAAAGGATGTCGGAGGCTGCGCAGATTTCCTGGTCACGTGTGTGGACCGACGGGCGCGAAGATCTAAATCTGGTTCGCCAATATATCGATTCAGATGTGGCATCATTTGCACTCAGCGAATTATTCTACTAAATTATATGCGCACTGCAACAGCTTCAGCCCGCTCTTGGGGGTTGAGTCGGCGCTGCCGCGCGGTATCTGGGATTCGTGGTGTTCGGGGCATGGCTTCCCCTGCTCCTTGGGAAGGCCAGGTTCTGCAGGCCCTCGAGGCCAATAAGGAGCTTAGACATTCCACATATTACCAGATAGCCACTGTCAGTCCGTCAGGAAGGCCCTCCAATCGCACTGTCGTCTTCCGGGGTTTCCTGCCAGGCAGCAAGCTCAGCTTTGTGACAGACCACAGGTGTGGTTTGGGTTTGAGGAATGCACATTAGTGGTGTCCTTGCTCCCCGCCCTCCCACAGAATCTCTTGCTCGTTCATGAGCTCCCTGCCGCCATGACTGCCACAGGAGCAGCAAGATCCAGGATCTCGCCAGCAACCCCTGGACAGAAGCTGCCTGGTACCTCCCGGTCACGCGGGAGCAGTTTCGCTTTTCTGGATCGGCCGTGGTCGTGAGTGCATCAACGCAGGAGAAAGAGCTGCAGCAGGTAAGGGGGTTGCCACGGCAGGATGCCGGGGAGGGTGAGATATTAGCAGCACAAAGGATGCATTTTGGTGGAAGAGGATCGACTGCGTCGACAACTGCCCCATGATGCAGGCGCGAGACAGGGCTTGGGCCAAGATGTCGCCCCCTGGGCGCCAACAGTTCTTCCAACTGGCTCCGGGTCATGCTCGGACACAGGAAGACCTCACAGAGGACAGTGAGGTGAGCAGGTGCAGGGGTGCGAGAGAGGCGCGAGCTTGATGGTCAGATGCATGCCTGGCCAAACGTGTGAGAAAGATCATGCCACCTGTGTTCCAGCCTTGCCTGTGTCACATCTCAGACCTCGTACTCCGCACCTAATTCGCAGGCAAGTGTGGACTCCGATGTGCCGCCAGACACATTTGACTTGGTGTTCCTGGAGGTGGAGGCGGTGGACTACGTGGATCTGGTGGGCAACACACGGAGGCAATGGCATGTCATGGAAGGGGAATGGATGTCTGGAGAGGTGAACCCCTGAATTGTTCCTGCTTTCCCGTGATTGGTCCGAGTGGCCTCAACCCCCCATGTTCGTCAGAATCATATCACAGCGATGCTCAAGCACTCGCACTGCCCATGATCGGGTGCTAGCAGTTGAGGCGATGCATTGGGTTGTATGCTGACAAGGGACATGCAAGGCTGGCGCGGCAGTGGTGAGCAGCCGTGCCCATCGCAAGGTCTATGCAAGAGTTCATGGAATCAGTCGAAGAAGCTGTATCCGCTCGAGTCGACCACGATGAGCTGGATGCTGCCCACCATTGCCGCAAGGGTGAGGATGCCGCAAGCGATGTTGAGGACCTGCGGCAAGGCACGGGGGGGGATGGTATGGAATCTCAGTCACGCACAGGAGCAAAGCTGGCATGGGCCATCTGGACAGAGCCGGAACCAGAGGCCCCTCCGCATTGGGCTTGCTGGGTCCGGCAAGGTCCACGCATGGCCACCTGTCACCAGGCATGGTGGGCCCTCGCCAAGCATTGCGACACTCCTTCAGACCCGGCAAACTATCAAAGGGTGCATCTCGGCACTGTCCCCCACCACAGCATGTGACCCCATCGCCCATTCGCACCCGCAACCAGAAGCGCTTTCGCTTATCGGGGTTGTACACCCGGATCCAGCACTCCACAGGGAAGAAGACGGTGGTGGGCCAGAAGCCTGGTTGGGTGGTGGTGAAGTGGTTGCTACGCCAGCCTTTCATTCGGCGTGCTAAGCGGGCCTGGCATAGGTAGGGGCCCTATCACCACCCCAGACATTGCCAATGCATGGGCACCCTCCCATCAGGCAAATCCTGGATGTCCACATCGACATTGGGCCCCCTCCGTCAAGGGTCCTAGGGCTTTCCCGTCTTATGAGGAGCTAGCTGCCAATATTAACACCCGACCACTCACCCAAGGCCCCTATCAAGCCGACGATATCATTGAAAAATGGCAGGCAGATGGCTATGATGCAGACGGCCACAACATAGAAGGACCGCAGGGGGATGCGCAGCTTCCAACCCTGCGCAGCATGCATAGGCAGGGGCGGGGGTTGAGGATCGCCACTCCTAGAGGCCTGCTTGATCACACTTTCCCGCTCCGACCTGGCCCCTCCGACCCCCTTTTCCAGCCCCCCTCACCCAGATCGCTGCCCCCTGCGCCTCCTCCACTCACCCTGGACCATGCAGGCGCCCTAGCCCACCGCGCATAGCGCTCCTCTATGAATGCCAATGTGGGCTGGGCGTACACCTGGTAGGCGGGGACCATGTGGATGATGACCATCGCGTTTGCCCAGATGAGGACCCAACCCGGCCCCGCAAACCGGGTCAGGATGTCGGGCTGGATGCTGCTGCCAAAGGCCATGTACCCCGCCACCGACACCGCCTGGCGCGAGAGGGAGGATGGGGAAGTCGTCATAAGAAGCGGCAGCCAAGCATCTGCGGGGCTGGGTGGCTCGGGTAGTCGCCCTGGCGAGCACCATGGGGTAGACGTGGACGCCACCCAGGAGCTGCGCCCCCTCCGCACCATGTATAAGGAGGTCATGATGAGCACGGACGTCCTGACTGCGCTGCGCATGGGCTTGATGACGCCCACCCCTGGTCTACATTTGATTGTGTTCTTCAAAGACGGGTGGGGTGTATGGGGTTGAATTAGGCTGGAGGAGACATAAGGAGCGCGGTGGATGCAGGCCCATGAAGCTGGGGGTTGCCTTGCGGCCTGTTGTTGCTTAGCACCGCAGGAATTCGATCATGTGATAATTCCTGCACTCCACACGCAGCACTCCGCCTGCCGGCCTTCCACTCACCTGGATCTCGACCAGGATCATGCTGAATGAGTAGGCAAAGAGCACTGATCCCAGGGAATTCAGCACGCCAAAGGCCTTAGCAGAAGGAGACAATTTCTGGCCCGCTATTGTGCCATAGGTGTTGCCTGCGGCGAGGGGTTGTCAGGGCTGTCCTGGGTAGGCTGGTGGAGGAGGCCTGTGCAGCTGCTGCCAGCAAACCGAGGGGACTTCCCACGCCTTGCTGGCATCCTCCCCGCCCTGGATGAGGTGCATGCTTGTTCATGCCACCCTGTCACACAGCGTGCCAGCATGGTCACTTGGCTGGCGGGCCCCCACAAGGCCTGACCATTGGGAAGGGTGCTTTGCCACCCACTCACCTTCTGCGATGCTCAGCCCCAGGGCAATGCAGGAGTATGCGAAGGACATCGCTGCGCCCACCAGAGAAGCCCACCCTGCGGAGCCGGAAATGCGGGCCGTGCAGGTGTGGAGTGGAGACCATCCCTGGTCAATATCGCCAGACACCAGCAGCAGGGAAGTCCATGATTTGTCGTCAAACGCCCAACACCCTTTAGAGCACCCTGAAAATTCCATGCCAGCTCACAGAAGTGGTGCAGGGATGGCATCTGAACCACGAACAGCTGTGCTCCCGCAAATACAATGCTCCACACCCAATAGGTGTCCAGGCAGTCGACAGAGCTGTTGGTCTTGCAGATTGACCGGGCAAGCATCCTGGGTGTGAGATATTAGAAATCCTGGGCAAGGGTCGCGGGGCCTGAGGAATGTCAGGCCGCTTGGTCCTGAGCATGCAGGGGAAGTATCACATCCTTCCCCACATGCCAAAGCACTCACTGCAGGGAGAGGGTGCCGGTGATCTGGTACGCAATGGCAGTCACGAACAGGTTGATGTGCTGGACCCTATGGTGGGGGATGGATGGATGAGGTACATAATTTGTTTAGACAAGGGGCAATTCAGGGGCTGCAAGGGCGTGAGGATGGTCACTCACGTACACCGGGATCAGCCCTTTACGCAACTTTGTGCCAAGGCAGCCCCTCCTCAGCCTGGGTCCAGTGCCTCCAACCCATCTCCCCCACCGCGGGCGGCCGTGCCTCACCATCCCATGATGATGTACCCCCTCCTCCCAAAGGTGGTCAGCACCACATCGGTGTAGGTCCTCTGCCGGACGCCGCGGATGACGCTGCACTCCGCCAGCAAGTTGGAGGTGAACAGTGTCACCAGGGCAGCCCCCAGCAGGGTCAACGGGCCGGCTATCCATCCCAGGATGGAAATGGCGTAGGGGAGGTTCAGGATGCCGGCCCCAATCACGGCGGTGATGGTGTGGCCCACAGCCGTGGCCACACCCCTGCGAGAGGTGGGGCATGCTGGGCTGAGACGTACGCCTTACTCGGCCGCAGGCCCTCACAATTAATCACACGGAGTGCATGTGGTGATCTTGGGAAACGAACGCGGGGGTGTCCGTGTGTGTGCTGTGCGGGGCCTGAAGCCTGCCCAAGCCCTCCACCCCCATGCGACCACCGGCAGGCCTATAAGCCCGCAATAGCTACCCTGTTCGTTCGACGCCATCCGTGTCCTCAAATTCGTCAATCCCCTCCTTGAAAGCCGCATCATCGCCCTCGAAGGAGTCGGCTCGAAAGTCCGCCGGAACTCGGCCTGCACTCCCGAGTGGGTTCCCCCCTGGACCTGGTACTGGGGTGCGAGACATCCGCGCGAGCTGCGCAGTGAGGTTATTTGGGGGGGAATAGTCCGATTATATCTGTCGGATGCGGGTTTGCCGCCCAAGACGACGTGGGTGTAGAGACTTCGCAGTGGCCCCCGGTCGGTGCTGGAACTCGGGGACTCGGGGACTGGAACCGTGGCGCCCCCCGGTCGGCGTCGGCTTTCGGGCGTCACCCGGTTCTGGACCCTCCTGAGACAGGGTGAATGACCGCAGAGCTCATCTCCAGGGATACTAAGAATCATTACTGTCCCTTCAGTCCCTTCTGTGAACCCAAAGGCCTTCCCTCTCCTTTTTGCGCGTCTCGTGTGCGATCCGGTTACCCTAGATTTCGTCCGGAGGAGATGGGATCAGGTTAGAGCGGGTGCGGCTTTTTACCACCTAGGACCTGAGAACAGACGAGCAAGCTCCACAACGCCCAGCAGATGATCTTATGAAGCAACCTCTACCCATGCAGTATTCTATGTAAGCCCTTGTTACACAGAGTATTGATGACTCAAGGGAGCATGGTAATGCATATGAAGCTGTCGAGAAACATTTCAATCCAAGGTTGCATGGTTTAGCGACCTCTATTGATTGGAGAAAACGGTGTAGCTATTAGAATCAACTATAATGAGCTGCACGCTGCCCACCGTTGCCGCCAGGGTGACAACAAAGCAGGCGATATTCAGCACCTGTGATAAAGGATGGTGGTGGGAAGGGGTTTCTCTGGGACATGGTGAGAGGTATATCCATGTGAGGGCAGGCCCCCACCTCCCTCCCCGGAGAGGACCCACCGCCACCCACCCGCAGCCAGAATTTGCGTCTCTCTGAGGGTTTGTACACCCGTATCCAGCATTCGATGGGGTAGTATACAGTTGCTGGCCAAAACCCTGGGGCCGAAGGGGGTGAGGAGGGATAATTAGGCAAGTCAGCCAGGGTGTTGACCTGGTCCGAGACCCTCAGCTCTACAAACCATGATTTTACGCTGCTGAGCAGATTATTCCGGCCTCTCTGCGTACCGATGGCGCCCACGAGCCCGACGATGTCTCCAAAGAAGGGAAGGCACATGCCCAGGACTCCAAGGAGGACAACAAATGCTGATCGGAACAGGATTCTGAAGGTCACGCCCTGCATGTGTGAGGACTGGAGCTCAAGCTCCGCAGCGCGGGGTGGCGGAGTGGATACTGCACCATGCGCATGCCTGGCACACGCCCCTCACCGGGCCCTGATTGCCTACCCGGAGCATTCGCGGCGCCCGAGCCCATAGCGCATAGTGAAACTCGACAAACACCACGAATGGCTGCGCATAGACCTGTTGTGGAGATGATGGAGTGGAGAGTGGAGTGGGTGATGGGGTGGTCGAGGACTGGGTCCGCCTGCCCCGTTAAGCTGGGTGCCAGAGCCTGGGGAGGGCCCGCTCAGTCCCAGGCTGTGCCAAGCCACACCTGGTAGGCAGGCAGCATGTGGACGACCACCATGATGTCGGCTGTCAAGATGAGCCAGCGAGGGTGCTCAAAGCCGGTGAGCAGGTAGGCTGGTACGTCGTTCCCAAAGGCCAGGTACCCAGCGGTTGCCACCGCCTGTTGCATTGTATCCTTGGGGGAGGGTGAGGAACAGCAGGCACTGTGTGCGCTGGAGCCAGGCATGTGTGATTATCAGCCGCATGCCGGACACTCCTCATCCCAGGAAAAGGCAATGCAGCCTGTCATGAAGGGACGGAGCGCTGTAGATCTGTGTGATTGGTGCCGCGCCATCTCTCCCATCTGACCCCACACCCCCGTCACAACAAGCATCACACACCAGGTAGAAGAAGGTCATGGATGCCACAGAGATTTTGACGGCAATCTGCATGCTCTGGATGGGGCCGGCCTTCTGCGTCCCCTGGATTGTGTCCTGTGCTCAGAGAAGGGGACGCAGGCTGCCTGTGGTGTTCCAGATCCACCTTTCCCACCGGCAGCAGGGTGTGGGTCCATGCGCAGTCAGAGTGCACATCCTGACATATCACTTCCCCCACACCTGGATCTCGATCAGGATCATGCTGAACGAGTAGGCAAATACGATGGAGCCCAGGGCATTCAGTACGCCAAAAGCCTTTGCTGCAGGCTCCAGCGGCTGCCCCGCCACTGTCCCGTATGCGTTTCCTGCGAGTAATGTAAAGCAGCCGCAAATACGTTGCAGGGGATTTACCCTGAGAGGCGCAATACCTCTGACCAGATAGCCAGGCGTGCCGGACGCCTGTCTGCATTACCTTGAGCTATGCTCAGCCCCAGAGCAATGGTGGAGTAGCAGAAGGACATGGCGGCTCCCACAAGGGAAGCCCACCCTGTGGAAAATTGAGACGGCCAGGGCTGTGTGCAAGGTCAGTGCAGTGACATACTGATGGGTCAGTGGCCACGGGTACTCCCGTATGCCTGTCTCCAGTGGACGATGCGATCCTATCGCGCATGGGTATCGGGTAGGGGAGGAAAGACCCCTGACCTACCGGTGAGGTCACCTTGCCGAAGCACCCAAACCCATCCCGGCCGGGCCGCTGGACTCACAGAAGTAGGAGAGGTTTGGCATCTGGATGAGGAGCAGCTGCAGGCCGGCAAACACCACCGCCCAGACCCAGTAGGATGACAGGCAGTTGGTGATCCCGTGAATTTTGCAGACCGAAGTTGCGACGGTCCTGTGGTGGGGGTGATGATACTGAGGAGCGGAGAGCAGACTCGCATCCTGGGGCTTGCACTGTGCCAGATACGCGCGATCCTACTTTCCTATTCCACCAGTCACTCACTGCATCGAGAGGGCTCCCGTAATCTGAAAGGCCAGGGTGACCAGGATGAGGTTGGAGTGCTGGACCCTGCGGGGTGCAGGGCAGGGCGCTGGGCATGTTGGAAGGCAGCCGCCAGCAAGTGCAGGAGGGGCTCGAGGTGCCACACGCCGCTGCGGCGGGCCACTTCCTGCTGTGCATGGCCAGTCTGGGAGCCCACAACAGATGGCCATGGTGTGCAGGGGTGTGGAGCCCGAGGCACCGCCCGCACCGGCGCATGACCTACCAGGCGATGATGACATAATCGCGGCGACCGAAGGTTGCCTCCACCACATCTGTGTATGTGCGCTGGCGAACTCCCCGAATGACCCCGCAGTCTGCCAGGAGCTGGGAGGTGTACTGGGTGATGAAGGAGAATATGAGGAGGCACACAGGGCCGGCCACCCAGCCGAGGATGGAGACGGCATAGGGCAGGTTCAGGATGCCTGCCCCAATGACAGAGGTGATGGTGTGCCCGACGGCCGTGAAGGTGGTCCTGCAGCGGGCACGGCATCGGAAGGTCTCTACAGGAGAGATTTTCAACGAGTTTCAGGCAGTCAGGCACTCTATGTTGGAGGTAGTGGGCAGTCAGAGGGTTGCGCCCTTAAACCCCCCCACTTGCCCTGTACGCAATACGCCGTCGTCTTCCAGCTCGTAGGCTCCGGTGGTGGAGCCATTTTCCAATCCTACGCCATCCAAGTGCAACCCTGAGATGAGCAGGCTGTTGTCGGCCTTCTTGTTTTCCCGGAGCCTGAGGTCGGCGGGCATTGCCCCACCACCCAGTGACCCTCCTAGGGCTTGGACACCCCTCCTACTCTGACGAGTGATCACGAACTACGCGATGAGGACCCACATAAACCTCGAGGCTTTTTCATGTAATCCTGTCGTGGATCCCTTCCAGTGTATGATTGAAAAACCTTCCTGCAACAGACCGCACCGGTTAGTACCCTTCCCGGCAACTCCGGCAACCGGCCGGACACATCAGCTTCACAGCGCCCAGGGGATCCTTCCTGGTGTTTCATTTGTCACTACACTTCTCATACTTCTTTGATTAACACAAGCTATGGATGATGTTTGGTAAGCAGGATGCAAGGCGCCTGCTTGCTAAAGCTGGGCGTGAGTTGCTGCACAAGGAAGCAACACTGTAGGTAGGTAAAAATTACATCGCACGGTGGTGTAGTAGAGGTGCTCATCACTGATCTGAGGCTTGGGTTGAGTTTTGCGGCTAGTCGGAAAAGATTTCGTAGCTCTGGGAGTCGACGACAATCAGCTGAACGCTGCCGACTGTGGCAGCCAAGGTGACAATGAAGCACCCGACGTTGAGGCACTGCGCAGGGAAGAAGGCAGTGTTAGCGTTCAGTACAGGGAGTGGGGAGCGTCATCGTTTTGAGGGAACATTCTTGCCTTCAAGGCTTCGATACAAGCATGGCCGAACACTGATCCTTTTTAACCCGGGGCCCCACACCATGCTTGTCGCACGATTACATGCCACATCCCTCCGCAGCTGTTGCCCCCGAGACAAGCGCAGCCCCTTGGAAACTTCGTACCCGCAGCCACATGCGCTTGGTGGCATTGGGGCGATACACGCGAATCCAGCACTCGATGGGGAAGAAGACGGTCGCGGGCCAGAAGCCTGTGGAGCAGGTTGGGAGGGGGAGTTTAGAGTTTGGGAGAGGTGGTCCAGGGCAGCTCGCCAAACTCCTAGGCAAGCTGCCAAGTCTTCCAGTCGCTCACCGATTGCCCCGACTAGACCCACGATGTCCCCGAAGAAGGGAAGGCAGATGCCCAGGAAGCCGATCAGGATGACATAGGCCGTCCGGTAGACCAGGCGGAAGGTAATGCCCTGAGAATCGAGGTGTTCCCAATGGGAGGGGGAAGAGATTGAGAGGAAGGATGGGGACGTGTTTAGGGGCTTGGAGAGGTATGAGGTGCCGATTGTGGCAACAGGCAGCGCATATCCCTGTCCCTGCCTTCCCAGCCACATCTGCTGGCCCAACACACCTTGAAGAAGGATGGCGCATAGCGCCACTGGTTGTAGTGGTACTCGGAGAAGGCCAGGAAGGGCTGGGAGTAGACCTGGTAGGCGGGAATCATGTGGATGACCACCATGATGTTTGCCATGTCAATCACCCAGCGGGGCTGGTCGAAAGCATTCAGGATGTTTCCGGGCACCGCATTGCCAAAGGCCATGTACCCAGCGACGGAGACTGCCTGTACCGGGTGAGGAATGTTGAAGGGGGGGAGGGTCGAGAAGCGCGCGGCATGTTTGCGCAGCAGGGGCAGCGCCAGACGAGGGTAGCTCGAAGCCATGGTGGGACCGCATTGTGCCCCCATGGCGCTACACTCTATCCGTTAGCATGCACCCCGCCCTCCCCCGGCCCGCACTCACCATGTAGAAGGAGGTCATGGCAGCCACGGAAATCTGGACAGCCTTCTGCATGACGCGGACGGGGCCGCCCTTTCCAGCGCCTTTCAGCGTGTCCTACGAGGTGGTCGGCGGCTCGGGCAGTGGGTGAGGGCCCGGGAATTCATGCCCCACTCTGGCGCCGGCAGACATTGGACAGCCACAGCGCGGCGCAGGCAGAGCCAGGTTTGCCTGTCCCCTGAGGTGGCACGCACCTGGATCTCAATCAGGATCATGCTGAAGGAGTAGGCAAAGAGGATGGCACCCACAGAGTTCAGGATGCCAAACCCCTTTTCTGAGGGCGTCAGGCTCTGGCCGCCCACAGTGCCGTGCGTGTTGCCTGCGGAGGGGGTTGCGTGCCTGGCTGAGTGCACAGCCCTGGCGTGGCCGCGGCGGCACCCGCACTGGCGTCGAGGCGGGTGCCATGCGGTATGGCAAGTACGTTGGGGCTCAGCAGATCAACGTCCGACCTGAGCCTGCCCCAGCCGCGACACCATCCTCGGAAAAGCCAAGAAGGAGGGGTGCTCCCACACACTCCCAGCGCACCTTCGCGGATGCTCAGCGCGAGCGCAATGGTGGAGTAGGAGAAAGACATGGCGGCGCCAATGAGTGATGCCCACCCTGCAAGGCGTGAGGGATTGAGGAGTTTGAGCTTTGTGGGGGGCTTGGGTGAGGGTGCTGCATTGTCAGTCAGGTGCAAGGCTTAGTGCACTCCTAGACCACAACCCTCGGCCATCAGCTTCCTCAATCCTGGGTGGCCTCCAGGCCCTGCTGCACG